CAGCAATTGTGAATTTAGACAATAAAGATGGATTTGGAACTCATTGGGTTGCATGTAAAAAAAAGGGTGAAAGAGTTGCATACATTGATAGTTTTGGTGATTTGAAACCACCCAGAGAACTTGTGAATTATTTCAATAGAAATCATATATTATATAATTATAAAAAATATCAAGATTAAATTAAAACTAACTGTAGAGATTCATGTTTAAAATTTCTAATAGTCAACTATAAATATGATGTAGAGAAGAATTTTATTTTATTTACATTTTGCGTGTTAAACAGTAAACATGATGAGTGATTCTTTGATATTAACACTTACTGCAAATTCATCATTATTGGAGGTTTCATATGCTCCTCCGATTGGATTATCACCTACGAAAATAAACATGAAAGACGAATGGCGTACAATTACAATTCCAACTAGGATTTATGATCTTAAAGATATTCATACATTTCTAACTGTGACAGATCCTGAATTAAATCTTTCATTAAGAGTTGAAAAAAGTTCACTTGTCACAGAACTACATAGTGAAAAATTAGCTAAGTAGGAAAAATATATAAATCAGAAGAACCAACATCAATATTGAGTGTTAATGCAATATGTGTAGAGTGTAATATCACAAGTCACGGTGAGGGAAATACATAATTTACAAATACGAGTTGTAAATTAAGACGGAAAATTAATGAATAATTGATCTGAAGTGACCACTATGAGGTTACATTTAAAAAGTATATAATGGTCATTGCATATGATGAAGATTTCAAAGAGCAATGCTATAATATACCACAACCGTGTGCGAATCTACATAATTTTAAAAAAAAAAAAAAGTCAAACAAGCAACATTTCAGAAGAGGAGAGCAGTGAAACAACTAACTCATTCGAACGCTTAGTTACTAAAAAGTCTTGGTTTCGTGCTAAATTAAGAATTGATAAATTTAAATTCAGTTTTTCGTGTATGATACCATGGAAGCGTCGGCGTTAAAAATCAACAGAAAAATTATCCAAGATGAATCTATTTCTCATTATAAGATTTATGCACATCATATATAGAAATGATGATGAAATACGTATTGCTGTACAACATCAAGATTTATGTGTTTTACTTAGTGAAAGTTCAATCCATATCATAGGTACATTTACAAAAGAAGATAAAAAAAACATCAAACAGATCTTTGCTTACGACAATATTTGCATGTTTCTTATTTGAAGAAATAAGATATAGATTAGATAAAGTTGAAATTGATCGTAAAGAAATGTTTGTATTACAAAACTTATGAAAGGATTTCATCATTTACATCAGAGCAAAAATATTCGTTGGAAAACAGTGAAATAATGCTTGGAGCAACAACAGATAAGAAAACAATCAAAATTACTCGTAATGAAATTAAATGGTTAGTTCCATATGTTACAATGTCTGATGCAAAGAAAGTTAATATGTTAAATTACATTTGCAAAGTTCCATCAATCTTAATAGCTTTCGGATCATGGGAATTATATGAATATCCATTCCTTTCCATCACAACAAAACATATATGGTCAGTGAAGACAACAAATCAATTGGAGAAACCAAGACATATTATATTTGCGTTACAAACTAGATGTAAAAATGATATAAGACAGCGAACAAATAAATTTGATTATTGTAATATTAAAGACTTTGCTGTTTATTCAAACTCACAACGTTATCCATATGCTAACATGAACATCGATTTTGAAAATAGTAAATATGCACTTTTGTATGAAATGTTCACAAATTTCTATTCATCTTATTATAGTAAAGATATTAGAAAATCATACTTAAATAGAGACAATTTTTTAAGAAAAGGTCCCTTTATCGTAATAGATTGTTTAAGACAGAATGAATCTATTAAAGCTGGACCTGTAGATGTGAAAATTAATTTTAAAAAAATTATATAAAGTTTTATTTATTTATTACTATTATCCTATTATTGTACTATGCTTATTACATGGTTTTAAATTTTCAACTAAATTCATTAATACAAACTTATTAGCAACTTCAATCACATTTTATTCAATATTATGATGTTGATGATGATGCTGCTGATGAACGATTGCTCGATATTCTGCAACATATGACGATCAATGATTCAGGTGTTCGATAATTTATACTCCTTTAAGAGTATTTTTCTTGTCGTTCTTTAGTTTTAAAATTATAATCCTTGCTTTTATTAATATCAAAATAATACCTGCTAAATAGTAATATTCCTTTTTTACATATTGTATTATCAAACATCATATCGATAAATTTAAAATATGGTTTGATAAAATTTGGATTATTCCTGAACAACATATTAAATATTTCTTCTGAAATTTCTACGTAGATCATTTGTGAAAGAATTTTTCCAGGATCACAAGTTTGAACATAATGATGAATTTTGTCGTAGTCATCATAATTTATAACACATTCATAATGAATAATTCAGTAATCAATATCTGTATATTTATTAGTATAGCCCAATAAATATTATGCAAATCTACCAGCAATAGTTCCCGGTTTTATTGTTTTCAACTCTGTGTATATTTGTAGTGCAGTTTGTTGAAATTTTTTAAAGTAAAGTTTGATTTAATGTCAGTCTCTTTTCATGTATAACTTATAATACTGATCACTTCTTAACAACTTTCCAATATTTATGAAAAACATTTTAGATTTAAGAATAATATTCAACTGATAGATTCTTGAATTTAATTTCTATATGTTTGAAATTATACCGATGCTTTTTGGAAACAAATCTCACAATAAATACTGGTAGACAAACGGTACTCTTTTTCTTTTTCCTTTCTTCTTTCCCTTATACTTTTTTAAATGTCATATACCGTAAACTGAAAATGTGTTTTCAGTTAACGGTATATGACATTTGAAAAAAATTTTCTAAAATGACCTCATTATATAGATTACCTGAATAGATTATCACAGGTAACAAACCAGGGGATGCCCCCTCCCTTGCTGAGGGCATTGACCATACTCAACTAAAAACCATAAGAGGTCAACAATACTCCACCTGCTTAAATACTATGAATAGGATAACCTACTCTATCTCCTCACTCCTGTTCAAACCCATGTGAGTTCTACAGTACTACACACTCTATACCCTCCCATCTGTTGAAACCCATAAGAGTTTAGTCCACCAAAACCTATGATAGTTCTACGGCAGACTTAATCAATGAAATATCCACTGAACTATCTAGTTCGATCTCCTTATATATGCTACATATTTGAATTCTTTCGACAATAAATTTTTTCTATTACCAAAAGGAAATTAACTACACGTACCATATAAGTAAAAGTAACGTTTTCCTGTTTATAACAACTGAAAAAATTGCTGAAAGGCAAAAATTTAATCTTACAAAAGCTTGAGCATTCTTTGTAGCCAATGACTACGAATTTATCGCTCCTCTTTTGATGCTATCACAACGTGATGATTATTAAAATGAGCTTATATATACTATGAAATGACTATTTATAACATTTTCGATCAATTTATTGTCTTGCAACGTCATAAGACATATTACGCGAACAAAGTTGCGGGAGTCTGCTAATTTCAAAAATTTTCAATGGTTCTAGGACTCATTGTAATTCCATCATTATCATTATTTATGGTTGTTACACATTTTCGTACAGCCTAGAAAAAAGAGCTCGACAGATATCAGCTGAAAATTAATATTAAATATATCAGTGCTCTGCAGTCGTCTGGGTGCGACCCGAAAGGTCCACACGACAAACTTCGCCGTAGAAAGGAAAAAAAAAACGATGCTTTGGTGTTATAATGATTATTATTATTTAAATACCATTTTTTGGAATAGTACTGAAAAAATGACGGAAGAATTCATAGGCATCAATTATAAACAGAAAACAAATTTTGAATTTACCATAAGATTAAATTTTTGTTTCTCTACAACAATTTAATTGTCATAAAAAAACCGTTGTTTATCATGATATATCGTTAGTCCCTTCGCTTTGAAAGCAAAAGAAAATTTCTGTTTGATGAACTTAAATACCTTGCACAGAACCCGTTTCCGACTGTGTGTAACATATTTAATTGTATTAAACATAAAGAGTAGGATACGATACATTTCACATGGTTTGTAACTTTTTTTTCATAAAAGAAAAAATTACACGTTAAAGGGATTCAAATATATATCGCATGGATCTCATTTTTTATTGTTTTCAATAAATAAAAAATTTTTTTTTAATTATTATTATGATTAATAATTATTTGACATTAACAATTTTCGATTATTGTGAATACCGTCTCTTATAAATAATAATTATTATTTTATGATTCTCGACAAAGAATGACTGGATTGATAGTGCTGGAAACTCAATCAGTGCTAAGTTATGTGATTATGCGTCGAATGCAATTGGTCCCACGTAAGTATCATTTTTTGTTCTCGAGATAATCGACCAGAAAAATATTTCTGTGCGAACATACGCACATATATACATACACCCACACAGACATCCACTGGAAAACGGTCGTTTTCAACTCTGGGGACCTTAAAACGTGGAATTATGTCAAAATTCGGGATTCACAAAATTGGACCCATTACTATAACTCCCCACTAGGAAGTTAAAAATACAAATATATTTAGAAAATACCAATATTATTTGTATAATTATCTTTAAGTGAGAATAATTTATTGCCAACTTTACAATCTGTTTGTGAGAGAACTTTACAGCAATCAAGATCTCTGATTACCTACTTGATAGAAAAAAACGTACATTTGTTTCATGAACAAATTCTAATTTTATTCCATTTCTCCCCAACGAAAATTTCTTAATTTCGTATATTATGAATAAATCAATTGTGCTACATAATAATATGCTTCATCAAAAGCCAACAATTGTTTTTCTCGTCAATTCGTGCTTTCTAGATTAGTCTAGCATAACATAAAAACACATTGTACTACACTGGATTATCCGATGTATTCTAGAGACTTAATCCTTATGACTCTATTGCTTATTTTTTTTCATTATAGGAAAATCATTAAACAATCAACCCCTTTTGGAATTTCCAATGACAAGTAGTGAACCAACCTTAGAACCATTGAGAATCAAAAGAGCGACATTATGGGTGAAGGTTTTTATGAATCATCTCCATTATCATCAAATTTATCAGTGGCAGCGGTATCAGAAAAACATCACATTATGGGTATTCAAAGTTCATTGTGGAAATTCAACTCATTTACGTGGAAAGGTAAGAAATAGTAAATATGTACAACATTAATGCAAAACTAATAAAACTTCAGAAAAAAATTTATGTTTTTGTAAGGATGCATGAGTAAAGGAATGACAGCCAAAACTCAATTATTATAAAAAAAAAGAGTTACAAACAACATGAAATAAATTCGCACAAACTTTCGTCGTTTATAACGATTGAAGCCGCCAAAAACAATTGAATACGGGATCTATGAAATGTATTTAGGTACTTCTGACTAGAAATCCTTTCTTTTAATGAAAAAAATTAATCAATCCTGTAACATAAATAAAACGAACTCTCTCTTTTTATAAATGAATTTGTCATAAATTTTTGAACTTTGAGTCAATAATTCAACTTGTCCACATTTTTCGGAACTCTTTAGACTTAACTACAAGTGAGCAAATTGTGTTTGTGAGTTAACTTTGTCAGTGTCAGTGAGCTTCAACGAAGTCTAACTCCTTAAAATGTTTATTTAATTTATGTTGAATATGTTAAATAAATGTTAAATTTAATGGTTATTATTTTATTGTATAATAATAGATCAAAAAAAAAAGATAATAAAAAAACGAAAGAACAAGAATAGAAGAAAGAAAAATTTTTAGTTGATTAATTTAATATATTAATGTATATACAAATGATCTCACGAGAACAACGCCAACGATAAGATTAGATCCATTAAAAATTAAACAGAAACCTTCAAGACCAAGGGCCAAACTCAGCTGTCGCACTTCTCAATGATGTTTGTAGAAAAAAGAGCATAGAAGGAAGTAATATTTTGATATTACTTAAACTATTCTTCAACAGGAATTGTATAACTCTGGAGCAAATGCTCGAGTCGTCACGCGCGCTACTCAACAAAATGATTTTCCAAGTACAAACAAGAATTTTAATCAATTAAGATTATTTACAGGTGTACTTAGGAGTTTCACCCAAGTGCTCACAAGGTGGTAACTACCCTTGATTAATTCAATTAAGGTCGCTCGTGCTAGATGAGAGAAAGAATAAATGTTTGGACTTGCGATGGGAGGGGGGGGGGTCGCGATTTACTCCTCTCCTATAGGCACCAAACGTTTTTTTCCTGCACCATCGTGTTTCTCGCAAAAATGCCGATCTAGTTATCTATAAATCATTGGTTTAGCCTTCGCAAATAAAAATTACCTCATTTCCCTCATTTGACTGGACTAAACATGATGTACCTGATTCCTACATTTTTAGTTCTGTATTTTTAAATCAAAGTAGTTATTAATCACTATTTTGTCAAAATTCGACAGATAATCAGTAAGTATTCGTAACATATTGTAATATATACATGCCCCCATTTATATGTAATTTGATAAACGACTGAATTGGTTGTTAGCAACGCTTATCCGGTTTGTTTATGTTTAATTTTTGACTTAGATTTGAGCTGACCAGACATTTTTACCTGTCATTGAGATTTTTCGATTGATTCAATAAACATTCTCATTTTTTTCTAATTTTTTTTGGAGCTATTATATCGTCATATTTTACAATACATACCAGATGATGTGAATATGTAAACTTGCTGAGCTTCTTATTGATGGACTAGGGTTTTCGATCTGCATCTGCTGTTGTGCCTAGACACCGTAGCTATGATTGAAAGAAACAATCGTGAAAATGCTTTAATTAATAAAATAGTTCAATTAAATAAAATTAAATTTTACTCTTATTAAACTTATTAAATAATCCGAGTACCAGGTAGGAAGGTGCTTCGGTTGATATCTCCTGAAATAATCGCAATTTATTATTGCATCAAATGATGCTGAAAAATTAATTAATTGAAATGGCTAGCTTTGAAACATACTGATTTATGCAGATTCGATAAATAAGAGCTTAAGCCTTTAGTGATCACTCGAATTCGCTGTATTGAAGAGTTAGTTCATATTGCTAAATTGGTAAAATAATTTGAGTGCTAACCTAACGTGTTTGAGGACTTGAAAAAAGTCTAAGACACTCATATGACACTCCAGAATGCCGCGTGTTTGCTATATACTATCTTAATTCTGAGATATGTCAGGATTCCGTAAAACAACCAAGTGTATCTGTTAGGAGATAATAACAGCAATTATCTCAAAATTTTAAATTCAAATACAGAAAATTTGTACTTCTAAGGTGTCCGCCGCTATTTCACAGAAATATATTTTTAAATGATTATTGTGAAGTAAATTTGTCATACAAAATATCAGTTTACTTCTTAGTTTAACTAGGTTTGGTGAGTGTTAATCAATCGATTTGTCATTTATATCAACTACCATTGATCACAATTTATTACCTGTTCAATAAACAGTACATAATTTTAATATATCCAATAAATTCATAAAGGTTCGATGTCTGGAATGACTCAATCTTATTCGAAAAATTATTACAAAATATCAGTGCTCTGCAGTGGTCTGGGTGCGACCCGAAAGGTCCACACGACCAACTTCCCAGTGGGAAAAGTGAAAAAACGATTCGAATAGAACCCGTTTCTATTCTTTACAACAAATTTCATTGTTATAAACGGATAAAGTATGTTTCCATTCATGTCATACGGTTGGTAACTTTTTTTTAGTAGAAAAAAAAATTACGCGTTGGAAGAATTCGAATATATTGCATAGATTTCTATTTTTATTATTTATACGAATTTAAAATTTGTTATTTAAATATTCTCATAATCAATAATCATTTGTTATTAACAATGTTGAATTATTATGAACACAATTCCATATTATCAACAATCATTATTGACTATTATATTGTCTTCAATGCTATTTTCACCATTTCAACACAAGTTTAAAATTTGTTCATTGCAGATTCTGTTCTTCAAAAAAAATTTTTTCCACGAAATATCATTATCATTTTTCTACACAATTATTACAAACATTTAATATTCATATTTTGCAAAAGATCGTAATTTTGTCTAAAAAATGATATAATTTATAAATTTCAAAATTCAGGTAGTTCACCATTTTTTCATTCTGCATAAAAAACTACTGGACCGATTTCGCTGGAAACCTTATCAGTTTTTACTTACATAATTACGCGTCGAATGCAATTGGTCCCACGTAAGTATCATTTTTTGTTCTCGAGATAATCGAGGTGAAAAGCAATTCCGAACGCACATACGTACATACACACACACAGACGTCCACTGGAAAACGGTCGTATTCGACTCTGGGGACCTTAAAACGTGGAGATATGTCAAATTTCGAGATTCGCAAAATTGGACCTATTACTATAACTTCCCACTGGGAAGTTAATAATGTCTTTATCATTTAAAGGCCCAGAAATGCAGACCGCTTAGCAAAATCACCTAACCATGTAGTTTTTTAATCACAGCGAGCCAACTTTCATGCAATAACTATTGATGCAAATAAAATAAATTAACGTGACTCAAACTCGCTCGGTTTTCAAGAAAGCATAATCGTTGCACGAAAAAAGTTTTTAGCTTACGGATGACGTCCCGTACTGCTCCGATGATAGCAACAGCTACTTTTGACTAATACTTTCTCCACTCCACCAACAACGGCTGAATTCTCATTTTTAAGTATGTTTTCATACGCTGAGTTGGCTGGTACAATGAAGTTCTTGTGATTTGACATTCTGACGCACTGTTTAACAAGTTCATGATTACTGAATGAATCACTTAGATCACTGGAAATCACTAGAGTTGTCTAACATGAATTTAATATTCACAAAAAATCGTGATTATAGGTACGAGAAATAACACAACACTGAGTAGACTGACTTATGTTGCATTAGATTGCACTTATGCATTAAGAGTTGTCTTTACGACACAACAACTACGTTCTGTCAACAATTACACTTAGCATTGGAAAGAGCTAACTGTGAAAGATTCATAACAAATCACAAATTTCTCGAACAGTTCGTTATTGAGTCTCACTGACGCTCGGTTAGCTTCTCATTGCGAAGAACATAAACTTTACGCATTAGTTAATCGATAAATTCCATTTTTAATTGTTTACAACAAATTCATATTTTTATAAACCATGCCTAATTGTTTAAAATCATATTTGGTTGTAAACAATAATGTCTAGTGAATATTGCCTTAATTTTTAGAGATAATTGTGATTGTTTGGCTTAAAAGTATCTCAAAGAGCTAATTTTTCCATTTTTCGTATTAGTTATTGTGGTATAAAAAAACGGCTTGATTGAATTTGCTCAAATTCCTTTCAGATCTTCGTTATAATGATATCATTCGAATTAATTTCAGTTAAAGTTGATATTTCGATTCGATCTTCAATGCAAATATCCTAAAATGTGGAGATTTGATGAAAATTCAAATTTCACCAATCGACCCAATTCCAATAACTTCCTCATGGGGAGTTAAAATCGTTAATAAAATCCAAAGTTAGTTCAAGTTCAAGCATAGCTCACTTTTTACACAGCATGAGCGAATATCTCTGATTATCAGAACGAACAAGAGAGACTAAGAAAGGCATTTTTTATTATTAGAACATGTTAGTTAAAGTTAAAGTTTAAATGATGAAACACATGTTTGTTGCTTGGAAAAAACGTTCCAGCATTATAAAACGAAAACAAAAGTTAAAACGCATATTTCACAATGAGGACATCAATAAAATCATTAAAATCTATTCCCTATTATCAGAACATCAATTAAAACATTGTAGTTCATATTTAAAACTTTGAACATGAAAGAGTTCGTTAGAACATATATTTAATCATTAGAACATACGTTGAAACGACAGAGAACGATATAACGTTGGAAAATATTGTTACTCCTGTAATTTGTAATTTCAACAAAAATATTAATAATTACAAAAGTAATTTGTAATCGGATCCACCAAATTACACATTACTTTATCGATTGATAATTTTAAAAATGAAATTATCATTTAACACTGTAATTGATTATTTTATTTTCGATATTATCTTTTACAGAAAGAATTAATAATATCGTAAATAACATGAGTAAGTGAGTAATTGCTAATTTCTTCATTCTAATTAACAGTGTAATG